TTAGAAATGTTCAAGTTTATGAAATTCCAGAACTAATTGATATTCCACACAATTTAAATGGTTACTAATTGTTGAATTTAATAAACTTACGTTGGCATTGGCAAATTGTTATTCACCATGGTTGAAATTTGTTAAGAATATCCGACGAGTTAGAGTAAATTCTATTATGATAGAAGTAAAATATCAAAACAATTAAAAAGAACATAAACAAACGAAAACAATACAATTGAATTAATAATCCAAATGTGATAACAAATCAATAAAATGTACTTGAAGTTTGCAGATTATTTACATATTGAAGCATTGGTTACAATGTCCTGATAAAAAAAATGGTTTTTATATGAGTAGCTTTTAGTATTCAACAAATATCTTGAATCTAACAAATCTTCTCTATGCTTCGTTCATTGTTGTATAAAAAATGGAAATTGTACGAATTTTGTGATTTGTATCAATATCGTTAGTTATTAACTATCAAAAGGCCCAATGTAAAGTCGACCATTAATATTGGTTAATCCATCATTATAGTCCAAACATGCTAAAACCTTATCCAATTTGATAAGCTAGTGGAGGGAAGACTTATAAAGTCTTCATCTTCCCATCTTGCTTCCTATGATGGACACAAGAAGCAAGAATCATGACAAAGAATGAATGTAATATTCCAATACCACTACAATATAATATTGGTATGCAATTATTTCGAGTATGTTGTTATATTTTCTTTTTATGACTAACTGACACATCAACAGGAATGATTATGCTATATGTTGTTCTCTCATTCAATTGACCACATGTCAATTTGTTATAATTTTAAGAGATATTTATTTTTCATTTGCCATTTACTTTATTTTTCATTTTCCAATATATCATTAATTTAGTTTCCATAAATTAAACTTACTATAGGACGATGAGGTTCAAATTTTAAATTTTAAATTTCAATTTCAATTTCAAATAAATTTACAGTTTAAACATTTGTATTTAACATTTTGTTATAATTAATCCGTTTAAAACACGGGTATGACAACTAAACATTTAATTTTAATTTATTTATTTCTCACATCTTTTTATTTCTTATAATTTTCACTTATTTTATATTTCAAATTCAAATAAACTTCCCATTTAATCGTTTTCAATTTAACATTTTCTTTTAATCAACTCGTATAATATACGGATCTCACTACTAGTTTCATATTCAACTATTTTACTCATAAATCTATATATATTTCATTTCAAACCACTTAAACTCCAGACATATGTCACATATTAAGTGGTACATTTCCAACACCTTTTGATACCGATAAAACGTGTTACACATTAAGTGGTACATTTCCAATACCTTTTAATACCAATAAAACGTGTTAGATTTCTTACTCTGTAGACTATAAATTGTTGATTATAAAATAAATTTGCATCAATACCTTAAAACCATAACTTAAATAGATCAAACACCCTTGTTCTTTAAAATAACTGCAACCCCAAAAACCAACAAAGTTGGTAACAATAGTAAAAAAAATGTATTTTCTTTATATTAGACATTTATTATTATATATATATTAAAGTTATGAAGAAAAGGAACAGTGAACTTGCTTGAGTTTTGGCAAATTTGATCCACAACCTTTTCATATCTTCCATTATTGCCTTTCTTTTAACAGAGTTTTCATATTTGACTGGTCAATGCTTTCATTGACTTCTACTATAACTAGAACGTTCCACCGCCTTTGCAGAAACGTCCCCATTTCCTGTTTCTCTCTACAAACGTCTTCTTCAAACATCTCTGGGAATCCTTCGTTCTCAAAACCTTTCACCAACACAAATGGTTCCTCCACGTTATTTCTCGCCGCCTTCATCCTCCAAACCATCTTCTACTACACTTGCAGTGCTTCGCACCGCTTATCAAAGATCGATACAGGGAAAAAGAATCAAAAGGTCATGTGTGTGTGTGCTGTGTTCAATCCATCGGAAGGCAGACCAGTCGGAGGCCGCTTCCTCGCTACCGATTATGTCTGCGTAACCTACTACAGTTCTACGGCTCGAATAGCCTCCCATCGCTTCTAATCGGATGCACAAAACATATCTTCCACCGAAATCTCTGGAAGAGCTATCGTTCTTGTCGATGGATGGTGGTGTATCTATCGCTTCTGTAACAGATGCTTCTCGATCCTTTTGATTAGCACTCCACCATCTCTTCCCCACCGCCTTCTGTATTTGGGTTTTCTTGGTCACCGCCTCCATGAAATTTTTTGTTTCAGGGCATGATGATTTGAGAGGACGAACAGTGGTCGAATATGGGTTTCTATTTGGGCCACAGAAATCGGAACTCGGCAGCGACTTAATCCACCGTCTGCGCACCCTTCCTCACCACTACTTTTTTCAAATCGTCAAATCGCCTTTCCCTTTGTCGTGTATGTCTACTGTGTTTAAGTAATTACATTTTTTTTTATGTCTCACAAGTCTTCAAACATTCTTTTAATTTTGATTTTATGCAATTTGTAGGTTGTGAAAGCTATTGATCTCCCTCATAGTGTTTCTTAGGCAATTGGAACAAATGTTTCCGGTTATGCCCCCTAATTTATGAACCGAGCAAAACAGATTCATCCAATCCCTTTTTCCGATACTGCTTCATCTATCTCTTGTAAGTTTTTAGTTCTTGATTAGAATTTTAAATCTTTATGGTGGAAGATTCTTGGATTAATGTTGACTGTGGTTGTTGTTGGTGGTGCAGTGACGCCTAGGCCAATGGAAACTTCAAATGGTCAAACACCAACGAGATAGTGATGACGTGGATGACAAAGTAAGTGTTTTTCCACATCTTTTCTACATATTAAACAAAATGCATTTTTCTTTATAGGCAAACTAATAATCTTAATGTGGATTTTTTCCTTTCTTTTAATGTTTTATGTAGGATGGATTTCAAGAAAATTACAAATTCCTTCAGGTAAGATAAATCCATATTGAATGGTGATATTAATGCGACATGGTTGAATTCCACTTATGATGTTTTATGTTGTGCATTGAGATGTAAGGTTTTTTCGGGTGGTACTCATTTTTTTTGGTTTCTAGATGTAACTAAATTACAAATAGTTAATATATACAAAAAGAATTTTATAGTGTTTGGCTTTACTTGCTTTTTTATCCATATAGTTAGAACTTAGAATGCTTATCGAAGGTTTGATCACAAGTGCATGTCCAGAAGGGATGGTATAGGGACAATGGACAACTTTACCCTTGGTAACCATACGAGAGGGATGGAATTGAAGTACAAGATGGTAGGATCCTAATTCTCACAAATCACTCTCTGTAATCTTCTTTATGTTAATTCATATCCTTATTCTTTCATTTATGTTGATTTAAGTCCTTATACTCTTAAGCTTACATGAACAATCAGATGGATTGATGGCTCAGTAATAGAAAAAGAATTTTGGTATTGAACAGAGAAGACATGATATCCAACTACTGACTGGAATGCATGGGCAGATTATTATGGCAAACAATATATAAAGGTTTAACAGGTTCGGATGGTATACAACCGTATTCTCTTTGTTCATGATTATTTGCTATTTTTACGAAACATATAGGGAACCATGAAGTTAGAAAGATTAGCAAAGTCGGTAGCTACAAGGTAGAAGGTCTAGATGACAGTAGTTGTGTGTGCGAGTTTTCAAATTGTAGCAATTTCAGCAAAATACAAACCAATTTCGATAGTTATAATTGCGTAGGTTTTTAAAAGTCTAATTTGCTAATACAAAGTATGAAATTGAAGGACACATGTAATGCACATTTTGTCTGCTCTAACTTCTCAAAACCGATATCAGATTCACTCTCTTCATCTAATTTTGGTTAATCTTTCTTCAGGAGAAGTGGTGGTTGCTCAATCTTGCTTCAGGAGAAATTTGATTTATTGCCACTGGTTTGTGTTTGTAGTTTTCATGGATTACTTTTATAATGGATTTGACTATTATTGCAATTATGTTGACCATGAAGCAATTGGTGAAGTAGTTCTTCCAAGTAAGTTAAAATCCATGTGTCATACTTTGTACTTACAAATTTTTTACAGCCATGTTCTGTTTACAGGGTAAATCAGCGAAAAATTAACGGTTAAAATCTTTAAAATATAATTACTGTTTCTATTCTGTTTTATAACCACTGTTCACATATTTAGGTGGCCGATATATTCCCAAAGAGTTTTTACATGTGAGGTCATTAATCACACCCACATTTTTAATAATCAGACTACGTATGCTGGTAAGAACAAGATTCTATTATTAGCTACAGTCTTTAATATCTTTTCATTATTACACAATTGGTCCTTTGACTTAGTTCAAAGTCACACAACATACAAATGGTTTTCTTAATATTAATGGTCAAAGAGGTAAAATGAAATGTTAGTGTAATTTGTCGTTAATATCATACTTTTGTTATTAATTTTTATGTTTTTGATTGTTTGGGAAAATTGGATTTGATTTTTTTGTTGTTTGATGTGAACATTAGGTTTTTGACTACATAAAAAAACTCACTCTAAGCTTTTTACACTTTTGTTGATACAGTCCCTAAAGAAAAGTGTCAAGTTGTTGATGTGAATATATAAAACCCATGGTTGGATTGTGTTTTTGGTTTTTTACTTTTCCCTTTTTGCCGCATTTTTTCTCCTCACGTGACTTCAGAGTTTTAGTTGTTCTGATATCAATATTGATGTGTAGGTGTTTATTACTACCATGATTTACCGTTGCATTTCTTATTTTGGGCTTTATGGTATGCTAAGAAAGTTGATGGTGGTACTGAACTATTGACATTGTTTTGCTACCCACTGACGACAGGTTTGTTTCATCCGATTCATGACAAATTACACAGAATAGCAACGTACTTTATTATGGATGTCATTCGGGCAGTGTACTTCAGATAATAGTAATGTATGAAACACATTAGCATACACGCAAAACTAACACTTTTCGCCCCGCTCGGGAAACCTTTCTAGTTAATTATTAATACGTTACAAGTACAACAAGCTTCCAAGATTTATGAAACAACATAATAACACATCCAAATTCCATGCAACATATGAACACAATCACTAAAACCGAAACTAAGAACCCTGACATAAAACACAATAACCAAAACCCCATTGAATATTCAAAATTACAACTTTACTTTCAATTTTCAAACATAACAAACATCAAAAAAATTAAAAATCTATCTACATTTTCCCAAACACATCATCTTCCATCAGCAGAAGTAAACGAATCAGCAAATCCAGTAGGCCTCGCCGGAATACTACTCTTACTATCATCAAGATCGACATAACTACTATAATCCTTCCCTTCAGCCTCCTGCCACCCTTTGACCATTTGAGTCAACGGCAGACTATAATCAATCCCACAGTACTCCTCCGCCTCATTCTCCGCCGGTTTCCACTTCTCCACCAGCGGGGAAAGGACATTGACGGCGTGGCCCATGTCCGGCCGCTGACTGGGTTCTCTGGCGGTGCAATGTCCGGCGAGATCGGCGATGATGGAGATGGTTTCGAAGGTTTCGTCGTTTGCGTTGAGAGAGGGGTCGACGGCGTTCATGAGTTTTTCTTTGTTGGTGCGAATGGACCAGAACCAGGCGGCTAAATACTGGCTTTCCTCCGGTCGGTCTTCGTCTAGTGCCATTAGACCGGTTAATAGCTCCATCAAAACGACGCCGTAGCTGAAAACGTCAGCTTTTGTGGTGATTTTACCTGTCACTGAAAAAGCAGATAAAAAGTTCTTTGAGAATTGGAAAAGTTGAGTGACAATTTTTGTTTTATTTTTATTGAATTAAGTTAATCCGAAAGGAAATAAAAGGTAAATAAGATGATGTATTACCAAAGTTGTTAAAATTGCAATTAGATTTGATCCTAAGATTGTTACTATTTTTGAAAAAAAAAAAAATATAATAGTTTTTCTTAGACGAAATGTGTAAATAAAATTTTGAATTGTTTATCGGTAAATAATGTATTGGATATATATTTTTTATGTTTTAAACTATTTTATTTTATCTGGTTAACAGATGGATGAAAATGTATTTTTTTTTATGTTTTAAAATGTTTTTGACAGGATCTTACAATCCAATTTGATCTTAGGATCACGATTTTGCAAAAGGGAAAACGATGTTATAAGATCACGATCTTGACAAACTCGGTATATAGTAATTGAGATGAATAAAAATTATTATTTATGGTTATTTCATTATTTGGTTTATTCTACTATCTTGTTCATTCAAACTCTTGTGTGATTCAATTCCATTATACTTTTGTGATTCTATTCCATTATACATTTATATTAATATTTCATAATATGTAATTTTTGGTTTTTGCAAATAACTTTTTTTAAATGATTAATTAATATTTCTTATTATTTCAAACACATACAAAAAATAGAGTAAATTACATTTTTGGTTGTTAAACATAGTTGCCAAAATGTTCATTTGGTCCATGCTTCTAGTTCTTGCAACATTTTTGATTCTTGTTCCAAATAAAATTACTATTTTGATCCTTGTCGATAACTTATTTTTTCAATTTTGGTATCAAACTTGTATGCAATTTACGTTGAACAAGATCAATAACATTGGTAAAAAAACTCAAATAATGATTAAAATTGCAAGAGAGTACTTTTTGAAATCAAAATTGAAAATTTTAGATATACTAATTACTAAGGGACTAAAAACGTAATTTACTTTCGAATTTATATAAAAAATTCAATATATTCATATATTCATTTATTAATTATCCATTGCATTACATTCTTTATTCTAATATCTACTTCATTCAATTCTTCTCTTGTTCTATTCCTATACTATTCCATTATACCTTTGTGATTTCATTCCATAATCCATTACCTTTATATCTTTCCATTTTTATATAATAAATAAACACATGATTCCATTCTATAATAAACATAAACATAAACATAAAAGGAAAGTTACCTGCATATTCAGGAGCAAGATATCCAAATGTTCCAGCAAGACGAGTAATCACCGATTTCTCTCCATCAGGCGCCAATTTCACCAATCCAAAATCTGAAACTTTTGCTCGAAAATCATCACCCAATAAAATATTCGAAGATTTCAGATCCCGATGTATGAAACTCTGATGAGCCAAAGTATGAAGATACTCCATTCCTCTAGCAACATCCAACGCAATATTCAGTCGTCTCTTCCATGAAAGAGGTTCTAATTCAAAGGTTTTCCAGTGAAACAAATGGCGACTCAAAGCCCCTTGAGGCATAAACTCATACACAAGTATTCTCTCAGACCCTTCAGCGGAATACCCTAAAAGTGACACCAGATGTCGATGACGAACTTTGGAAAGAACAGCGATTTCTGCTTGAAATTCATCCAATGCTTTGTTGCTTATGACTCCTGCTTCCATTCTTTTTACTGCAATTTTTGTTCCATCGTGTAATTGACCCTTGTAAACGACCCCAAATCCACCGCGACCTAGTTCGTTTTCATGGGAGAAGTTTTTGGTTACGTTTTTGAGAACTTGAACGGAGATGATTAGGTTTCCGGATTCGATTACGTGAGATTCAGTGTTTCCGCTCCCGGAACCACTTCCGATGCTTGTGTTTGAGTCGTTGGTGATGGCGATTTTGACTGTGTTGTCGGAATCAGATGGGTCGCGTGGATGAACAACGAGGGAGGTTGGTGGTTGATGCGAGTTTACTTTTTTCGCTTTACATAAATAGATGGAAATAGGGATGATTAGAAGGATTAAACTTAAAAAACCTGCAACTGGAGCAACAATGGGGACGATGTTGGAGTTCTTAGAACGTTTAGCACTCAGAGGAGCAGGATCTTCACCAGAAACAACAGTATTATTATCTCCAGTTTTCGGATTTGTCTTTTTCCCTGTTGTAGGCGGAGATTGGGGGTTATTCGCCGGAGCTCCGGCGACTGGACTGGTTTTAGGAGAAGGGGTTTTCGACGGATTCAATTGTAACAAAGGGTTTCCAGTTAAATCAAGTTTCATAGATGGATTGAATTTCGGAACAGGGAGGGAAAGATCATTGTTGCTTAAATCCAATAATGTTAACGATTTCAAATTCGTCCAATTTGATGGAATCACGCCGGTTAAATTGTTTGACCCAAGATCAATTCGAGCGAGAGAATCGAGATTTGCAATTGAAGGGCTTAAAGTTCCAGAAAGATTGAAGTTTTTTAAGTGAATAGAACTCACTTTTTGATCAATGCAGCTTAAACCAAACCAAGGACCTTCACATGGATTATTTACCTGACCACGTTGACACAAGCCTCGCCGGATAATTTAATCCGTCCAAAAAGCTCAAAAGCGCGGTGGTTTCCGGTGAACATGGAACGCCGGGATCCGGTTGACAAAATTGGTTCGATGAATATGTGAAATTCGAAGCTTGGAATTTGGGGATAGGACCCATGAAGTGATTATTATTTAAATCCAATTTATCCAATGTGAGAGAAGCTAAACTATCGGGGATTAATCCGATAAGATCATTGCTGTTTACGTTGAATTCTTTGAGTTCAGTCAAATCGCCGATGGAATCAGGAATCTTGCCGGAAAAGTGATTCCCGTGAAGCCATAAGCTCGTGAGTGAAGTCATGGTTCCGATTACATCAATGAAACCACTCATTCCGACTCCTGATTGACCATTTAGCCAAAGGATTCTTACACCCGATTTGTTGAACGTCGCCGGAATTCCACCGGAAATTCGATTCATCGACAGTTTTAGAGCCCCAAGAGACTGCATACCTCCGAGAAATTCCGGCAAAGGTCCGGCTAAATTGCAACTCATCAATGAAAGATTCTGTAATTGGGCGGAATTCTGAAGATCAATCGGAATCGACCAACCGGTGGTGGCGTTAAGAGGGTTGTTATCCAAAGCTAAAACCTCTAAACTGTCGAGTCCATGGAAGAAATCCGACGGAATTGAATCAAATTGGTTATAATCAAAATACGCCCACCTCAATTCCGACAACCCATTTAACGAAGGTAAATCTCCGGTGAACTGATTCTTTTGAAGACCTAAATTCGTAAGCATTGACAATTGATTCAAATTACTCGGCAAAACACCCTTCAAGTTCATACCCTGAACTTGAATCTGCGAAACCCTAGTTTGAGAACAGAATACGTGAGGCCAACGTGGTGGCCCACAAGGATCGTCGCCATTAACGGGCCATTCCAGAAGCTCGTGATTCTTCAACCCTTTTCTAAACTGATTAAGAATCGCTAAATCTCCAGGATCTGTGGCACTATAAACAAGAGAAACAAGATAGGGATAAAGGAATGTTACAGTTAGAAGAAGCTTCATCTGGTGGTAGTGGTGGTGTTGATGATCTGCCATGGAAGCAGAGCTTGAGCATTGAGCTTTAATGGCGGCATATTGAGAAAGGAAAACCCATTTGAGATCTTCTTGTAAAAGGAAACAAGGGATTTGGAACAAAGAGAAAGCTTGTTGTTGCTTTCGAGTGTTTGCAGAGCATAAACATGAGTGGTGTGATGAAGAAAAAGATGGATATGAGAGTAGGAGGTGGGATTTAGTACAAGTATACGTGGATGAATTTCGAAGAAATACACTTTTGTTTAATATTATTGGACCAAAAAAAAAACATTATAATTTATTTGTTGTCCAAGGAAAACTATTTCTGATTTTATGTGTCCTAAAATTATTTATGATTTTATGTGACATATCAAAGTAATTGTGTGATGGCTTTTCTTTTAAGTTTAAATATAATAAATAATAATATGTTGTTATTGCCTATTGGAGTTAGTTAGTACAAAATTTTACTATTTGGGTTTGATTTAAATGATGGTAAATATTTATTTTTCATAAACTGCCGTTAAAACAATTTAAATAATGGTTTATCTTGAATATATAGTTTCCGTTGCTTATCTTTTAGGGAGCTGATTCGTACACAATAATTTTTCTCCATACACAACAATTGGTGCTTTAAAATGTTCTATTGTACAACTATATAATGCATAAATTGTTGTGTATGACAAAAAACTGTTGTGTACGAATCACTTCCCTATCTTTTACCGTATTTATTTGGAGAAAAGGTTGTGGTGTTTTGTAAGAGAATATTTGTATGTCTATTTATAAGATTAACCCTTATTATTGTAATGTATTTTGATTTTTTTATAGATCTTTTTCATTATAGTGATATCATTTAAATATAATACCGTTTTATGATTATGACGATACATATTTTGAATTATATTGTTATAATAATAAAATGAAAAATATATATATAACTTGATAAAATTTTAAAATACAATATGTTAATATAAAAGAAATTCAAAAAATATAATATTGTAACAAAAAAATGTTAAAGGTAGAATGTGTTAAATCTGTTAATATACAAATAAATAAATATGTTTTGTTAAGTTTTGCATTTAACATCGTAATCAGATAGATTTGATATGTATTTTTCGATCTTGGGAAAGTGTTTAAATGATATGAAAAGTGTTTTTAAATGTCATTATTGTATTTGATTGAAGGTATTTATCAAGTATTTAAGCATGTGACACAGTTCTTTAATAGTGAGTCCTAATCAAGATCGTAAATGAATAATTTCAATTTAATTTATTTATTTTTTCTATCATAAGATATCAAATAAATTAGTAAAGTTTCCAATAATACATGTGGTACAGAAATTGTGTCACTAGGGACCGCATGGTCCACTAATGAATTCCGTGACTGGTGGGGATTGTTTATAATTAGAACGTCAAATGCTAATTCTGTTTGGATCTGTGATTTATTTATTTTAGAAATCGTATCTACTTTTATTAATATGATTATATTAAAAAAAATCAATTGATGATGACTTTTGGATAATTATATTTTGTTTTTATCTTTAAAGATGAGTTTTAATCATAATTTCTTCTGCACTTAAATCCGTGTTACTTAAATAACCGACATTTGATTTGTTATTTAGCGATATATAGTTAAATTGTTTTGGTTGAATTAAACATGTCAATTTTATACAACTTAATTCTATTAAAAAAAATTTAAAAAGAGTTCTATGATTAATGAAACTTAGTTTTCTTACTAGTGATGTAACGACATATGTTGATAAAAAAAACTTTTTTTAACGGATTTTAGAACCATATTTAGTGGAAAAAATAGCACGATTCCATCATTACTTGGCATTAATAATACTATACAAGTTACTGTGATCATGTGGTCATGCCTATCTATCGTGCCTCTTAATTATTTCTTATTAATGAAGGGCCGGAGTAAATATTTAATATAGATCAGCATTATTTTTTAGAAAAAATACTTAATTATATTGAGGGTGGCCTGATGACAAATACCGGTGTAAGTGTCTGTTTTCAGATTCTTGGACCTCTTGGACCAGTACAACATTCGTAACGTATGGTACAATCATTTCAGCAGTATCGAAGAACTTTCAGGTTTTGATATCTCGAATTCTGATGACTGCAACTCATCAATATGGAACGATTATTATTTTTCATCTACAATTAGTAATTATCAGTATTCTTTTTTGATTTCATTGTTTTTTATTCTTTCAATCTCTTGATGAACAAGTAAGAGATTTGATGCAAAGATTATCGATCATTCACCTTTTTTTTTCTTTAGCTATAGTGGACCTTAGTCTCTTCCCCCACAATGTGGATCGATTTTTTTTTTCTGAGCTGTAATCGGCAGTCGAGGAACTAGGAAGGAAGGGAGAACCGACTGGAAAAATTCATGTGGATTTGGACAGGATTAGGATAAAAGATTTGATTGAGATTGTGAATTATGTGTTTTGTTTTTCCAAGAACATCATTGATAAAAAAAAAAGGCTACCAAAGTAAACAACTGCGTCTTTATGTTTATAAAATACTATGTATTTTGTGAATAGAAACAAATAATATGTTATCTATTTATGATAATTTTCTAGAACAATAATATTTTAAAAAGATAGATTGTTATCCGTATATGACATTAGTTTTTTTTTTCTAATAAGTTTGTTATTTTATTATAATGTTTTACCATACTCAAAATTACCATCGACCATACCTAATGTTGTAATTTACTTTGTTATTACTTTCAAATAAAATATATTTGGATCTTTCCTAAAGTATATGAAAAGAAAAAGTATATTTAGTAGGAAAGAAAGTTCATGCATTAATTTATGGTATCCAAGGAAGGCATGATGTCCGTGGGAGAGTTGTGATGGTTGGTGAATGTTGGATTGAATGAACAGAAAGACAAATTGGTAGGTTCCAACCATGTGGTTCGATTATATATAGAGTACAAGAAATTTGAGCTCTAGTTTTTCCAAGTGTGAGGTCTCAATAAGTTTCATATAAGATAGATATATTTAATAGTATACTGCGTAATATTCATTGTAATGTATAGCAGAAAGAAACGCTATTGATTATTTATATGTATATGTATATGTATATGTATATCTAAAATATAAGTTAGGAGAGAGAAGGATATATATGCTTGTTCACAAAAACCAAAACACACACAATCCACTTTTATGTATATAAGTAAAGATTATCACTTGCTTGTTATAACGTTAAGAGACGAATCCACTAAGTTATAAATCAACTTAAAAGTTTATGTATTAGTTTGTCTCAACCAGATTACTTAAGAGCACATCCGATGAAGGATATTGAGAAAAAAAAAAAAAAAAAAAACGTAGTTTTTCATTTTTGGAAAATTTATGTAAAAGTCATATTAGGTTGTTTAGTTTTGCTAAAGATTAATAAATATTTCAATTTTGTTTGGTAGTTAAAAGTCATATGTATTATTTTACTAATTTAGTTTTGTAATTTTTTTGGAAAACGACAAATGATTTATGATAAACAAACTGCAAACCAGCCAAGCAATAATCATAGATTTAATATTATCTACAAGCTTACTGGAAGAGATTGAGTATTGCTCGAAGATCTTATCATTCCATAACTTCCATGTACACTAGAGCATTTTGTAAAATTGTAAAATATTATCGAGCATTCTGTAACATACTATCGATCATATTCTTATTTTCTTAGGGCAATGTCCCCATTTGAGAGCATAATTTAAAAGTTTACCCGAAGTGTCAAATTGAACCCGGTTCAACCCACACCAATTAAATAGAGAAAATCGCAAATTTAACCAAATTCCTTAATTACTTTGTGAAAAATAGCAAAAAAAAAAAAAAAGCCAAATTACAAATATAGCCATGAAAATCGCAAATGGATTAAACCCATCTGCGATTTTTAGCATTCCATCTGCGAACGTACAAGTCGCTAAAACACAATCGTGCTTTAGCGACTTGTACGTTCGCAGATGGTTTTTCTTTTAGTTTTTTTTATTTTTTCCGAATAAATACCCCAATCTTTGACTGAAATCGCAGATGAACTAAGTTCATCTACGATTTCCTCTCATCCCACCT